TCTTTTTTTGTGTATGATCAAAGGATCAGCAGAAAAAGTTTTTGTTAGCTTATATTAACTTTTAATTTTATATTAGTAACATAATATAAATAAGCTTCTATTGATTATATTATATGTTTTGATGATATTATTGATGAAAGAAAGAAAAATCACTAATACAAATTGCTTCACTTCTTCAAATAAAGTATGACTGAATCAAAGAAATTATGAGACTATTAGGATAGATACCAAATTCTCTAGATTATGAAAAGGTGATTATTTGTTCAAACTGAGACCTTTAGCTTCCTATTATCTTAGTTAGATAAAGTATATGAAGGAGGTTATTTCCTTATCCTGGCTAGGCTATAAAATTAAAAATTAGAGGAATATAAAATACTATCTTTCTTTAGGATTGAGAATGTATTTCTCTAAACATTGTATAACGATATCACAATTAAGATAAACATCAATAAAATTTCTTTAACAAGGCATAACTGTTGAAAGATATCAAAAATTATACAACAAGACTGAAAAACCATATAAAAACTTGGGGTTCACTATTAGTTATTCTGTTTTATGCAGATGGATATAAAATTAAGATCAAAAGAAAGAAAGTATTGAGTAAGACACTAGATTTGAGTAGATAATTTGTACCTCAGATAGTTATAAAAAATAATCAAAATCATAAATGGATAAGTTCCTCAGATGGTTAGAAAGAAGAAAGATATCCCAGAAGAGTTGACTTCTAATATGAAGAGGTTTCTAGCAAAGATCCTTTAAAGAACATGTAGTATTTTTATTTTTTATTTTCATATAGTACAATTGTGTATTTTTAAATATATTATTTCCTTTTATTTTCACTTTTTCCTTAATTTCTCAAAATCAATTTCTTGGAGAATAATAAGTAGTAATAACTTATTGACAATGATATGTAAATTAGGAGGGTATTCATCCAAAATCTATTATAGAGTGAAGTATTGTCACTAAGGTTGCACTTAGAGGTTGAAGCTTTTTTGAGAATTGATAAGTGTATCAGTACAAGTTTTTAGTTTAGTTATGATACAATTGCTCTATATATTTCTATCAGTTTTCATAATAATTATTAAATATATATTACTAGTCTGATCATAGATTTAAAAAAAAAAATTATTTAAAAAAGTTTTCAAAATTATTTATTAAAATTTTATTAGATTATAATTTGAAAAATAACTTTTTTTAAAAAAATATTTGATTTTGAATAAATTAATAAAATTTATAATAAAATATTATTATGATTATTTCCATTTTTGAATTTATAAATAAATGTATAAAATAAAATTATTACAAAAAATATATAAAATAAAATTATTACAATTTTTTTATCAATAAAAATTTTTTAATTATATAATTTATTTAAGTTTTGTAAAAAAATATCATCAACTTAACCTATTTTTGAACTTTTTAAAAAATTTTTAAAATTAATTTTACAAAATAAAAGTTAAATAAATTATATTAAACGTATTATTATATTTTTAAGAATCTTTAAGAATTTTTTTAATTTCTAAATAATTATAGTAGAAAAGTTATTTTTTTGATTACTTTTATATATAAATTGATATATAAAATCTATAAAAAAAATTTTTTTTTAATTATTCGTTTAACTTTAAGTCAAAATTTTTAACATAAAATTATTATTAAAATTTAGGTATTTTTTTAAATCGGATTATAAATTATATATATATATAGAATTTTATTTTGATTATATAATTTTTTATTGAATCATAATAAAAAAACAAAAGGGCAAAAAGTTTTGTCCCAAACTGTATTTCTTTATATTTTATTAATAAATGATTGATATAAATACGTAAATACCAGAGTAAATTTTTAAATAAATATTTAATCGTACAAATTATTTTTGTTAAATCAATATTTAAAATTTCATTATAAAATTGGTATTTATTTTCAAGTAACTTTCACGATCTTAAGCGACAATAAGTCGAAAAATATAAAGGCGAAATTATACTTTTCGATTTCTATAAAGTAGATTTTCATTAAAGTTTATAAGCCATAAAGAATTATCTTAAATCATTTTTTTCGCATAATAGAATAGTTTTTGTCTATTTTTCTATATTATAAATTTATATGTGCAATTTTGTAACTCCAAATAAATGAAATAATTAATTAAATAAAGTTTTGTTTGATTTCAGCAGAAGATTATTGAATTGGTTTTTAAAAAAAATCCCCCGAACCAAATATACCTAATTAAATTTAAGTTATCAATAAATAAATCCAGATTTGGTTTTGATCCCAGATCCTCTCAACCAATCGGAATTCAGCTTTCATATTGTATACTTTTTTAAATCTTGAAGAAGGCGAATACAAAGCGTTCAAATATCATTGATAATTAGCCAAGACGGGAAGTAGCAATTTTAGATATTGCCATCAGAATAAATCGGATATGAAGAGGATGGGCATGGGGGTATTTGAATATGTTAGAACTCTGCCAAGATAGATCGTATTGATAGAACGCGCGGTGTCTGTTGTGTATGAAAAAAGGAACGTAAGGTGTTCGAATATTAATCCAAAAATCAGCTGAGATGAGCCATGCGAAAAGTTTTTGTCACAATAGAATGATTAGATGAACATAAGACATCAAATATTACCAGATAGGTAATGCCGGTGGAATGCATGGTGTCGTTTAGTATTGTGAGGAATGAATTTAAAAGATGAACATAAGGTATTTGAATATTCACTAAAATCAGCTGAGAAGGGTGATGGTGATAGAATGTGTGGTAATATGGAAAGTTGAACGAATGCAAGACAAGCATTAAAAAAAAAAAAAAAAACTTTTTTTATCCTTCCCGCATGTATAGATGCTTGAAAGAATGATTTGTCATAGGACCATGATATAATATTTGTTGTTACTGTTCACTGACTACACTAGTCACTCGGATCGATAAATAATGTATGCTAGTGTTTTACACGTACCCGTTACAAGGCAAATCTAAGTAGAAGACAACACATCGTTTAAGCTTATTGGGTAATCACGTATCAATCACGTATCATATTGTCGGTTAAATGTTTTTTCAAGTTCCGTTGTTAAAATTTTCATAATATAAAATTTCTCTTTTTATAACAAAATTTGAAATCCTAAAATTCGTTATGACCAATGACTTCGCTATATTCAGGTTCGTTATATCCAGGTTGACCGTAATTGTAATTATAAATAGATATTATCATTACTGTACATATGATAAAACGTAATGTACAGTAGACTTTTGAATTTTAGGTCCTTAAATTGTTCAATGGTCCCACTTCTCTAGTACGGTATGATTGGTGGAGGGCACAAACACAATTTTAATCTGTGACATTATTATCATACGCATCATTTCTGGTTTCATTGAGCGTATGGTTCTTTTTTCACCACACCATGAAAAACCAGCAACACGTGGCAACAGGTGGTGTCTTTTTTTATCGCTAGTCTTTTGTGTCAGTGTCAAATGACTCAAGGTGACACCGAAAAGAGTCCGATCCCAAATCCTTCATTATCTTAGGATCTCCTTTTATTATTATTATAAAGTTAACAACCAGAGTTATCCGCAGAGTATCTGTGACCAAGGAAGTTGGGAAAACATCAAATTCTTCATCAATCTCAAAAATCTTGCACCGTTGCTTTGTGGTCAAGAGAGGATACGAATAACGTCGACGAATTCATGTGAGTTTATCAAGTTTTATGGTTATTTCCGTTGACTGACCGAGTTAACAAAAAAAGGGAGTGCAACAATACGATTGACATAATCGGCGGCTAGAGAGGAATTTTTTTAATTTATCAAAGTTACTGTATCATGCATCGATAAACAGAAAGAGAGCTTACGTGTGATAGGTTCTACTTGATGTGATGATAACAAGCATTAATAGAATCACCGGGACAAATTCATCGCAAAGAATTCGGGATCTTTTTTTAATGTAACGGTATAGTACTTACCGTACGCACATCTACTGTATTTTTCAAGTAAACATAAACACCCTTCAGAATGAACAATACATATTTTTTTTTTCTTTTTTACTTTCAAACATGTGTTTATATTTGACAAGTCATCAAATAATTGAGATTGATAGATTTGACGATTCTTCAAAAGGGTGCATAAAATGACATTATCGTACGTACGTACGCACGTCCTGTACCATACGTCTTAAAGGTTTCCCTGAGTTAAATGAGATTCGCACAAACAAATTGATCACATTTACAGTACATGACAACAAACTCTTCAGTCACCTTTCCAACTTTGTAGTATAATTTCGGCGATAAGGTATGATCTCATTGTTCTTCCCGAGGAGTGCTCTTCAAAAAAAAAAAAAAAACACGTAATCATGATTTTAGATAATGCACCTACCGATTTTCGTTACCCCCCCTTCTTTATAATATAAATATTTACGCACGCGATCCTACAAGGCCTTTTAACTGGTTCCCTATTCGAATAAGATATAATATTGATGCTTAATTAAGAAATCATAAGACCCCCACAAATCTTCAACTACACATGATGTTGCATTGTAATTCGATCATGGGACATTATCAAGATATAAGATGTTGATGTTGATTTTCAAGTGTTCGAACCGATTCCAATATCTGATATCGGAAAAAGTATTTGCAGTCATAGCACGACACAGAAAAACCCACCACCCTTTTTCTCTTCTTTCCCTTTTTTTTTAAAAACAAATTACAATTAGCGAGGGGCGTCTGGCCCCCTCCCAATTTTTCCCTCTTTTTTTTTTTTTAAAAAAAAAAAAAAAAAAAAAAAAAAAGGGATCAAGCGTGTCAGATGCATAATAATGGGCGCAGCGTACACTGTATTTTCCTCATTTGGAATGATTTCATTCGGCTCTAGCCATAAAAAGGTATTAAACAGAAAAATATTCCTATTTCGGTATCAATATTAACCCTTAACCAAATTTATTAATCCTCTAGTTTTATAAAACACTAGCACCGTTGCAACGTTCCCTGGTAAATTATACCCAATAGTAAAATCACACGGTCGATCCTTCAATCTGGTTTCACAGCCTTTCATGAAACTATTAATGGCGTCTTTTGTATAAGTCCAAAAGAATGGTCCCAAGCTAAGGCTTTTTAGATTGAAAGGAATGAGTGGTGCCAATTCGTGCACCAACAATTCACTAATATCCACCCTTTCGATGGGGTTTCCCAGCAGGTGAATCGCCTCGAGTGATGGACACTTCTTGAATAAATCTGGGATCTCGGTGATCGATTCGTTCGGAATCTCTAAACTAAGCTCGATAAGCTTTGGACAATTGTTGATGATCGTGGTGAATAGGTTTGATGAATTCTGCGGATCGGGCGGATTTAAAATTATTAGGTTAATTACTCGTAAGTTTCCTCTGCTATTCCGGATCAAATGAACAAAATTTTGAAGGAATTGATCTTTGAGATAAATTTCGAGTTTGGCGAGAGTGGTTAAATTCGAATTTAAGAAACATTTCAAAGTTTCTGGTGGGCAAATTTGCGACGGCAAGGAATGTCGTGATCGACTTCTTCGGATCTGATTTTCTATTTGAATTTGCAAAGCATAGGAATGAGACACACGTAGCTGCATGTTCACATTCTTCATTATCCCTGATTCTCTCAGGCACGATAAATCTTCTTGAGCGCCATCTGAGGGCATGCTTCTTCGCCTTTGCGCATGCACTGGGACCACTCTCACTTCAGTCGCTGGTGCCAATAAACTTTGCGTCCTTGCCTGCAAGTACGCAAAAACCTGGGCTAGAGAAAGACTCTCGGGAATTTCTGGAAGCGGATAATATATCAGTGACAATTCCTCGAGATTTGAGAATTGGGTAAAAACCGTCAGGGATCTATCTAGTTTCCCGTGAATGACCGCTCTTCGGAGACTTTTGGAATTTCTAATGAGCGCTGAACTGATCTCCGGTGTATCAACAAATTCGGTTATTGTTAACTGATGTAATTTGTATTTGGCATTCATCAACTTTAAAATGGCGTCCTCGTTATTCGCTTGACAGACCTCTAGATTTCTAAGGGCGTTTGACTTCTGGGATATGGAATCAACTAGGTCGGGTGGAATTTTACCTGCATTGAGGTTTAGAATTTCAAAATATGCAAATTTTGAAAATCACGACGTTTGCCAAATACCTCGACAAGAGAATCTTTGTAGATTTGCGAAAAACATATCGGCCCCACGTAAATCCTGCAAATCCACGTAATCGCCTTTATCCATTCCATCAAAGTCCCAACCCCCGGTCACATACTCAAATGATCTCAGGCGTCTGCTCTGACCGAAAAAAAGTTCACATAGTTCAACAAAGATGCATCTCAGATAATTTTCAATATCACTTCCTTTTATGTTTGACGAAAGCAGATAGCCAATAGATTTTATTACTAATGAATAATTCAATTTATTTAGGAAGGATGCATATTTAAAGGACGGGCTCGATGTTAAATCATGAATGAAATCAACTCCTGCATTGTGTAATTTATGTTTTGATTTATCCGGTAGGCAAGAGAGATACGTTTTCACGATGGAAATCGCTTTCGATCGACAGGTGCAAGCCAGTTCCAATGGATTTTGCCATAATAAATCCACCGCATTCCTACACCATTTGCGATTGACCAATGCAGAAGAGTACAATGATTTGGTGTCAAGATTCTTGAAAATTTTCTCAATTGTTTCTGGGGGAAATGGAGTGGTCATGTTTTTTTTTACGAAAAAAAAAAAAAAAAAGATGGAAAATCCCGGATCAGTTTCCACAATTTCTTGTTATCCACCTTTCACAATGTTTGGTGTAATGTGTTACAGCGCAAACAAGAAGTGGATCACATGATATAAGTTATTAAAATATGGATATATTAACTTTCCTTGAGGTCTCGCGCTAAATTCAAGTCGGCACAATTCACCCGATCCTCCAGGTATACCGCAAATACGCTAGATATTCTCCGGTGAGAACATGAGAAATGCAACGCTTGAGAGCATGTCCCGGGCTAAAAGGGTAGTGCCAAAAGCACGAAAAAAGTTTGTCATCTTGCCGAGTCGCCTCGTTGCGTATTATTAGCGCATGTCATCTCACGTGATGGATAGTTTATTTCTTTTCGCGTGATAATATCCGTTAGCCAAATGCTGTCCGAACCCATCTTTGAATGCATCCTAAATGCACGTTTAAATAAAATCCAAAGTTAAGCAGTATTACTTAAATGCGCCCTCTTTTTTTTTCTAAATGATGCATAAAAACGACTTTAATATACCCGTGACTTAATTTCGATCATTCTACCAGTCGCCCAATTTTAGAATTAATCCTGGCTGGTATTAATGATTTTCGCCAAGCTAGCCGAGTTAAATGAATTCTGGCCGAAATCAACTGATTCTAGTTTTGATTCCGACCGGAATTAATTAATTTTAATCAGGCTTAGATTTAATTATTAAATATACAGTATAGTCTCCTTAAATATATACAGTAAATACGCATAGCTTATCTCAAAAAGAACTTGAAAAATTTTGTCATTATTAATTAAAAAAGGTTTTTTTTTGTTTACTATCCAATTGTATAAATTATTTTATTAAACTTTTAATAATTACTTTATTATACTGTATATTATTAAACTTTTTATGCTATCTAATATACTGTATTTGTCTTAATTTTTTTAAACTCTAGATACAATTTTGAAAATGATCCTTTGCATTATAAATAATTTTGATAAAGATTTTTTTAATTAAATATATTATTGCAAATGATACTTTACCATTGTATTTTTGCTTTAATTTGATTATCTTTTAAAATACAGTATATTCATTTCTATTATTTATTTATTTTACTATTATTATTATTAAATTCATATGGATTTTTTTTTTTCAATTTATTTATTTTTTTTACTATACAATATAATAAATTGAACTTTAGTTATTATTTACTTATTATTTATTGAAATATTATTTTTAAACTATTGTCTTTTTTCTTTTTAATAAAATCTATTTTTATAATTTAATTTTATATATCTTTATATATTTTATTATACTATATACTTGATTTTTTATTTTTTATTTTTTATTACTTTTTTTATTATTATATTTTTATATAAAAATCCATTTGATAATTATTTTATCAAAAAATCTATTATTTAATATATTTATTTTATCTTTTTAATTTACTTTAATTTTTTTTATTTCTATTATTAATATCATTTTTTTTTTAAAGTTGATTAAAAATTTTAAAAAACCTTGTTCATTATTTTTTTTATATATTTAAATCATTTCAAAAAATACTTTAAAATTTTTATCTATGAATTATTTTGTATACCAAATAATTATATTTCCATTAATATTTTATTTTTTAATTTTTGAGTATCATTGAAATAAAGTTTTTTATTAATTGATTTAATTAAAAAACATTTTTATTGATTTTTTAAAAAAATATATCAAAATATTTTATTTAAAATTCAATATCTAATTAATTATTATTATACTATATTTTTTATTTATGTTAATTTAATTTTTTTTTAAATATTATCAAGGTCATACTTGAATAATATTATTAAAGGGATAAATATATACTCAAACTTAAAAATCAAATAAAGTATCACTAAAAATTATTTATTTTATAGCTAATATTATTCTATTAAAAAAAATAAAAATCTTTTCACTGATCTTCTAACTATATACAAAAAAGATATTCGTAAGAAGTTTTTTTTGCTTTTTTGCTAAAAAGTCTTAAATATTTTCCTTAAAACTTCTTGAAAAATGACTTCAAGAGTTACCTTTATCCTTTTTTATTTGTTTACAATTCTTTTTGATCAAAACTTAACTTCTGATAATCAAGAACAAGTCAAGTAACACTTTTAATATCAATAATAAGAAAGTTCTTAAAGAAAAAAGAATCAATAATGAAGTATATAAAGGTTTTCTTTATCTTTAAAGCAAGAGACATATAGAGGTTTTTGATAACAGAAGGACTTATTTGTCTTTTTTCAGTCATTTATAGTTCTCTTAAAACTATGGCTTTCATGGTTTTCTGGAGAATTTTATTTACCTCAGTTTAATTCCGAATTTTGAGTAATACAAATTCACATCAAAGATAATTGGCTGACACAAAACATGTTGATTTTAAGAAAAGTAAACAAGCTCCTATTGGTTATAATTATATATTTCTATCATATTATGGGGAATATATAAATGAAAGTTTTAGAAAAAGTTTTTATTTAACTATATATATTTAACTCAAAGAAATAGTTATGATATCAAAAGTGGGGGTGAATTTGCATAAAGAAATTCCATCCCTTTTCTAAGTTCCTCAAGTGATAAAAAGACTTCTTGTGATGGAAACTGAGATCTTTTAATTTCTCTTGGACTATTTCAATCCAGTGCATGTTAAATAATAACAAAAAAGATTCTTTCTGAAATCCAAATGAAGCAAAAAAGAATATTTTAATTAGATAAGTCTCCTTTTGAAAAGAGGCTATAAAATAAAGCAAGAATCTTTTGAAGGATTTTGAATTGTTTTTCATTTTTCCCCTTTTTCAGTTCCAATTTTAGCAATTTATCATTCTTTGAGATAATCAATAATGATAAACTATTGACAATAACCTTAGTTGATTTAGAGGTACAATATCAAGTTACTAGAAGAATATAATATTGTCTCCTAAATCTGACTTAAAGTATTTAGTTGAGACTTAATTTTGTTTAGTCCAAACTAGCTTAGTGAATATCTCATATTTTTTAAGTAGTGTAATCCTTCAACTAATAATATACAAAGATGAGTTAGTTATTATGTGAAAAAGTCTGCAGATTATTTTGATATTTTTTTAAGTATCTTAATAAAGACAAGCTATTTTGACATACTATAATTGCAAGTTAAAAAAAAAAAAACTATTCTATTAAAAAAATAAAAAAAACTAGTATTAAAAATTCAATAATATTAAAAAAAAAATCAAGCTTATAAAAATTATATTCAAATATACTATATACTGTATATATACAATATATACTATATTAGATTATATATTTAATTATAGTAATGGTTATAAAAACGCTTTCTATGGATTCTTTATCCATATATAAAAAAGATGTTTGCAAGAAATATTTTATTTTTTTGTTAATAAAGTCTTAATATTATTCTTATACCAACTTGAAGTTTTATTTCAAGAGATACTCCCAAATCCTCTCTCTTATTTATATTTATTTTCAAATAAAAACTTGACTTCTTGTGACCTAGAAAAGTTAAAAAACATCTTCTCTTCTTATAGCAAGAAAGTTTTGCATGGAAAAAGAACTAATAGTATAGTATTTGAAGTTTTTTATATTGAAGTATATTCATAGAAATTTTTAGCAGTGGAAGGTAATAAATATTAAGCTATATTTTTAATGTATTTGTTCATTATGCTTTCTCTCTTATAGTTATCCAAAAATTTTTTGTTTTTCTGAAAAATTTTGTCTACCTCAGTTTGACCCTGAATTTTAGATGACATAATTTATTATAAAATATAATTAATAAATATAAAACATATTAATAGCTGAATTAAACAAGTTTCTATTGGTCATTCCATATATTTCGATAATATCATTAATAATAAGAAAAGTTGATTGATATCCCATTTTCATTTCACTTTTTCAATTGAATTAATCTATAAATTGAGTTATATAGATCAATAAGATATGAGCAACAAGTTTTCAGATAGTGAAAAAGCTATTATTTATTCAAACTGACATCTTTTTCTCTTATTATTTCTATCAGGTAAAGTTCAAAATCAAGGTCTCATTTTTATTTTGGTTAGACAATAAGATCAAATAGTTTCTGATTCATACTAAGCCCCAACTCTTTGGTTATAGTTGAGAATGTATTTTTCCAGAAGGTATTAAAGAATATCATAATTGATAAAAATTTCCATAACTATTTAAAATCCTCCTACTATTACAAGACAAAAAAATTGTTGAAAAATCTGACTTTTTAGATATTGAAAGATATTTACTAGTAAAATTCCTTTAACTAGGTATGGCTGTTAAAAGATATTATACTGAAACAATATGGCTTAGTTTCTACTGGGTTATATAAGAACCTAAAGTTTATTATAAGTTACTTATTAATAATAGGTAAATAAAAAATCACTGTTCAAAGAAAGTTAAGACCAAGTGTATTACTAAAAATAAAGATACTCACTAAATGATAAATCTTTTCAAATATTATATAAAAAGGTAATCAAGATCAAGAATAAATTAGTTTCTCAGATAGTTAGAAGAAAAAAAGATATCACAATTGGATATTTTTATTGAAAAGAGATTTTGAAAAACTGGTCTTTAAAGGAAGTTGGAATCTTTTTTTTTCATTTTTATTTTTTCATTTTCTTGTTATCTACTTAGATATTTTTAGATATTATTTTTTTCTTTTTTTAACATATTTTTTTGTAGTTTTCTGTATTTCAGTAGTTTTATATGATATACAGTAATAATAACTTGCTAGAAATAATATAGTAAATTAGAAAAATTTTTATTCAAAGACATTATAAAGCAAAATATTGTCTTCAAGGCCAAACTTAGAGGCTTTTATGCTTATAATGAGTTAGATAAATTAGAATAATAGTTTGGCTATAATGTATATTATGTTGCTTGAATGAAAATGTACTTATATTTTTAATTGATTAATAAACTAACAATCTAGCTTAGCTATCAGTATTCAAAAAAAAAATTATAGTAAAGTCTACTTATGTTAT